TTTTATGCTTAAAGGAATTAATAACATTTGGTATCCAGGGCAAGGCTTTCCTGTCTAAACCACGCCAGACCATTGATGATGACGAGAAGCCATGTTCGTACAACTGGAGGAGAAAACACCAGAACTGAGGCAAAGATTTTTGTAGAAGAACAGCTAGCTTTCAATGACAAGATCCAATGAGAGCTATATGTTCTACAAGCTCAGATTTCAAGAAACAAAGTAGAGAGCAATCAGAGAATGGACGAGATGAATAGAATGATGGGAGAGATAATCAGATCTTTAGGAGGAGATAGAGGAAAAACTCCGACACAAACAGGCAACACCTCAGATCCACCTCACAGAAATACTGAGGTCTTATCTCCAAGAAGAGGAAATATGTATGAAGAACAAGGTAATCCTAACACTTTTCTAAGAAACATGGGGAGAAGTGATATTAAGATAGATTTTCCTAGGTTTGATGGCAATATGCCAAGAACTTGGCTGAGAAGGTGCCATAGATAGTCTGAGCATGAGAAGGTTAAGCTTGCATCTGTGTATTTGGAAGTGAAAGCTGAGGATTTATTTTCAGATTACATTAAAAGAATGGAGAGGGTAGAGTGGGAGGTTTTCTCCAATATGATTTTGGAGAGGTTCATGGAAGAAAAATGAGTGAGTCTGTTGGCTGATTTCAACAGACTCCACCAAACCACTACTGTGGAAGATTATAGGCTGAAATTTGAGCACCTTTAGGTGTTTATGTCTAGAAAATACCCTATCCTTCCTGAAGGATACTATGTTGAGTGTTTCGTGGAAGGACTCAAGGGAGAGGTGAAGAATATGGTGAAGATGATGAGGCCTGTTGTTCTAGCCTGTGCTATACAGCAATCCAAATTGCAAGAATGGTGTCTATATCAATTGAAAACGGAGATCAAAAACTCAGTGAAGGCAAGCAATCAAATCATGAGAAATCCCAAAGTGGTTAACCAAGAAAAACCATTGAGAATATAATATCGTGATAAGAGACCTCATGAAACTAGGAGGCTTACTAGACCTGAGATGGAGGAGAGAAGGAAAAGATGATTGTGTTAGAAATGTGAGGAGAAGTATGGCCCAGGGCATAAATGCAAAAGGTTGTTCAACATTGAATGCATTCCATTGACAGGAGAGGAAATAGTGAAATGAGGACAGGCAGTAGAAGGAGACATGGAAAAAATCATGCAAATTTCATTCAATGCTATGGTTGGGCAGATCTCTCACACTACACTCAAGGTATTTGGCAAATTTAGAGAAAAATCTATCACCATACTGATTGATACTGGAGCTTCCCACAGTTTCCTTGATCCACAATCTGCCACCAGATTGAAATGTGATAAAGTATGTACAAGGAAGATAGAAGTGACTGTGGCAGGGGAACAACAAGTGTATTGTGATTCAATGTGTCCTGACTTCCAGTGGGAAATGGGAAATTATCATTTCTACATGAGCTTAACACTATTGGAGCTGGGAGGCTGTGATGTAGTATTGGGGGTGGACTTTATGAAAAAGTTTGGGCCAGTGGTTTTTTATCATAACCATAATTGTATCACCTTAAGGGAAAGAGGGAAGGAGATTGTACTCAGTGGAGTAAATGATGAGCCACAGTTCTTTATGATCAATGAGAAAGAGTTGCATGGAATGTTGGATAGTTGTAGTATTAACATGGGTTGTCTATTCATGTTAACTACCAGAGAGAACATAGCAAGTGGGGAACAGATACCAAGGAGAGTGGAAGAGGTGATTAACCAGTATATGGATGTTTTTAAGAACCCTACTGAATTATCACCTAGTAGAAAAACTGAGCATGCTTTGAAGGAAGGCACTCAACCTTTCAAATCTCAGCTATATAGGTACCCTTACATGCAAAGAAAAGAGATTGAAGAAATGATCAAAGAGATGCTCAGTACTGGAATTATGTAAGACAGTTGTTGTCCATTTGCTTCACCTGTCCTATTAGTCAAAAAGAAGGATGGAACTTGGAGGTTATGTGTTGACTATAGAAGGTTGAATGCAATGACTATTAAGGATGGATATCCAATACTCTTAATTGATAATCTTCTGGATGAATTAAGGGGTGCCAAAATATTCTCCAAAGTAGATTTGAGAGCTGGATATTACCAAACAAGAATGAAAGAGGAAGATATTGAGAAGAGTGCCTTTGTGGCCACTTCTGGACATTATGAGTTCAATGTGATGCCTTTTGGATTAACTAATGCACCAGCCACATTTCAAGCAATTATAAATAATGTATTCAGAGAGTATCTAAGAGAGTTTGTGCTAGTGTTATTTGATGACATCCTCATTTACAGTAAGAGTGAAGAATTGCACACTGAACATTTGAGGAAGACAATGGAGTTGTTAAGAAATCACAAGTTATTTGCCAAGAGGTCCAAGTGCATCTTTGTGCAGCATAAGGTGGAGTATTTGGGGCACGTTATCAGTCATGAAGGAGTGGGATTTGATCATGGGAAGATCCAGAGTGTGGTAGAATGGCCAGCACCAAAGATAGTCAAGGCATTAAGAGGATTCCTTGGGCTGACTGGTTATTACAGGAAATTTGTGAGAGGGTATGAAAAGATGGCCAAACCTCTAAACTCAACAATTAAAAAAAAGGAAGTTTGCATGGAACGAAGAGGCTCTGAAGGCTTTTGAAAAATTGAAAGAGGCAATGACTACCACACCAGTCTTGCAATTGCCCAATTTTCAAGAGAAGTTCATAGTTGAGACTGATGCCTCATACTATGGGATTAGAGTAGTACTGATGCAGCAAGCACACCCCATAGCTTTTCTGAGCAAAGCCTTGGGGCCAAAGAGTCTATGACTCTCTATTTATGAGAATGAGTTTCTGGCTATTCTTCTTGCAGTCTAGAAGTGGAAAACATACTTAATTTGTGGATCATTTGTGATAAGGACTGACTAAAAGAGCTTGAAGTACCTTTTGGAGCAAAAATTGTCCACTCCACTGCAGCACAAGTATCCTGCCAAGTTGTTAGGGTTCAATTATACCATTGAGTATAAGAAAAGAATTGAAAATAGTGCAGCAGATGCACTTTCTAGAAGAGAGAAGACTAGAGAATTGTCTCAAATTACTGTCATACAACCTATGTGGATCCAAGAAGTGGTTCATAGTTATGAATGGGATGCAGAAGCTAAGGAAATTATTAGCAATTGTACTCTGAGGCTAATGGATATGGATTTTTACCAGTATCTTGACGGGATTATCAAGTACAATGGTAGAGTTTATGTGGGAAATGCTGGAGAGACTAAACATAGGTTGATTGAGCACATGCATGGTTCTCAGATAAGAGGGCATTCTGGGATTCAAAACACTTACCAAAGGATTCAATCTATCTTTTTATGGCCTGGATTGAGGAATCAAGTGAAAGAATGGGTGAGGAAGTGTGATATATGCCAACTTAGCAAGCATGAGAATGTTAAGTTGCCAGGGTTATTGCAACTATTAGCAGTATCTGAACAGGCATGGTCAAGCATAACCATGGACTTCATTGTCAAGTTGCCCAAGTCTCAAGTGAAGGAAACCATTTGGGTAGTGGTGCACAGGTTTACAAAATATGGAAATTTCATAGCACTCAGTAGCCCTATGAGTGCTTCACAGCTTGCTCAAATATTTGTGGAAGAAGTGTATAGGTTGCATGGACTCCCTAGCTTCATCATTTCTGATAGGAGCTAATTGCAAATACCTCTCCTGTGTAATCTCTAATTGGCAAATACCCCCTCTGTCAAAAAAAAAAAAACTCACCAACGCCCCCTTGTGTAATCAAATCCAAAACTCACAACACCATTTGGGTTTTTTGGCATTGACTAACAGCGAAATGACAAAAATACCCTACGGGATTTTTCAGCAAATAGTAAAATATATATGATTTATATATAATGTACATATTTATTTTTAAATTTTCTCAACTCTGTAATTAATTTAATTAAATTTTATTACACAATTATTTTTAATTTTTTTATTTGTAGTTATTTTTAATTTTATACACATTATTTAATAATTTTGTAATTATAAAAATAAAATATAAATAGAAATTAAATATATATTGTTGTATTAAAATATTTTATATGTTTTATATTATTCTTTTATTATATTTTAAGTTACAAAAAAAAAAGGAAAATGAAGAAAAAGTAGTCTTCTTCCCCGATGCACCCCACCCTACCCCCACCCCACCAACCACCCAACTCAACCCTTCTTCTCCCCACGCCGCTGCCCAACCACCGGCTCACCCTTCCTACACACCCGCTTTTTTTTCAGATCCACAGCCCACAACCGTGATTCTTTTTCACGAAGTACCATTTCTCCTCCAATTTCACTCTCACTATGGCAGCCCTTTTCTGCAATTTGAACAAAGGCGGCGACGGCGGCAATAATGTGCAGGAGAAGAAAAAACCTACCCATACACAACATCTCTTTCTCTCTCTTGCTAAGAAATGGGTGGTATCAGACGGCGGCGGTGACAAGAGAGTGAAAACTGAAGGAGTAGTTGGGTGGCGGTGGTGCGAGACGGGCTAGAAGGCGGCGGTGGTGCAAGACGGGCCAGAAGGCGGTGGCGATGCCGAACTTTTTCCTGGTTGGGAGGTGGCGGCGGAATGGAACGAGGAAGAAGAGGGTCTTCAATTTTTGTTCCTTATGTTGCAAAATTGGAAATTTTGAAATTTACAATTTGGTCCTATAAATTATAGTTATTTATAATTTATTCACTCATTTTTTTATTTATGCAGGGGTATCTATGACATTTCACCCTTAAAATAACATAAAAACTCGCACAGCCCGCGAGTGAGATACACGATTTGCCTTAAGGGGTCTAGATACATTGACTTTGGTTACACATGGGGGCGTTGGTGAGTTTTTTTTTTTTTTTTGAAAGGGGAGTATTTGCCAATTAGAGATTACACAGGGGAGGTGTTTGCAATAAGCTCAATCTGATAGGGACACTCTCTTCACCAGCCAGTTTTGGAGAGAGTTAATGCAAGCTTTAGGAGTGCAGCACCAGCTCAGCACTGCCCATCATCCTCAAACTGATGGGCAGACAGAGAGAGTTAACCAATGCCTTGAATCTTACCTAAGGTGCATGTGTGGGCAGATGCCTAAGAAATGGAGCATTTGAGCGCCATTAGCTGAGTGGTGGTACAATACCTCTCATCACTCCACTATAAAGATGATTCCCTTTTAGGCATTGTATGGGTACAACCCTCCTCAAGTGGGGTATAGTCCACATTTGTTCAGAAGACAGGAGTGTAGAAGCTTGGGTCAAGGACTATCAAGCCATTCCTCAAAGATTGAAAGAGATGTTGGGGGAGGCTCAAGCAAAAATGAAGTATTATACGGACCAAAACAGAAGTGAGAGGGAGTTTATGGAAGAAGACTGGTATACTTGAAGCTTAAACCATATAAGCAGTTGAGCTTGAGGAGGAGTGAGGTATGGAAATTAACTCCTAAGTATTGTGGTCCTTTTAAGGTCATCAAAAGAGTTGGAGTTGTAGCTTATGAACTACAATTGCCTCAAGAAGCTAAAGTGCACCCAGTTTTTCATGTTTCACAGTTGAAGAAACATGTGGGGAAGGTGACTAGGGTGGTTGCCACTCTTCCTCTACTGGATGAGCTTAACCAATTCTTATTGGTTCATGTTTATGTGCTGGAACGAAGGATGGTGAAGAACAACACTACGGCTCAAGTGCAGTGGTTAGTACAGTGGGCGCACCTACCTAAGGAGGAAGCAACGTGGGAGGTCGCTGCAGAGATGGAGGTCAAGTTTCCAGATTTTAAGCCATGAGTCATGGCTTCTTGAAGGGGAGGGTAATGTACGAACTTAACCGAAATTCAAAGTTCCCTCAGTACGACGTCGTCCCACTTGAAGAAACGTTATCGCCACTCTTTTAAAATGTACTTTTTGAATTATCATTTGGCTTAAGAAAACGCCGTCGTTTTGGTGCTGACTGTGTATGGGACTCGTGCGTTTTACATGTCCCAGTGCACCTGCTCTCTTCGATTGCTGCAACCCTTGTTTCTATATAAGGACAGACCATTTTCTTGTTTTTATTTTATGCTTTTGCTGATTATTATTAGGTTTGGTAAGTTAGAGTAGCTGGAGTCCTCTCTTTTGTCCATTGTGTATTGAAGAAACCCTATTTTCTATTCAATGCTATATTGCCTTTACCTACTCTCTTGTTTTGTTGGAATTTATGTTTTTATGCTTAAAGGAATTCATAACATGTGATGTTTATTTTCATATACATTTTGTTTAAGGGTGAATTCAAAATGATTTTTTTTCATTTCGTCGATATTGATTCGAAAATTTCGGATTTTAAAAGTAGTAATATTTTTCATTCCGAATTCTTACAGATTTGATTTTTTATTTTCCAATTTTAAATTATATATATATATATATATATATATATATATATATATATATATATATATATATATATATATATATATATATAATTTGACAGTTCACTAAAAAAAACAAAAACAGTAATAAAAGACTTCAAGAAAGCAACTATTCAATCAAAAAGACTAAATAATATTGAATGTGGAAAGCAAATTAGTTGTTCTAGTTGTTCGTCGTCGAAGTTTATAAGTCATCGATCATATTCTTCCACCATGAGAGGCAGGGGGAGAGGCTGGGGCGAAAGCGCCGTTGGCTTCGAAAGGCGAATTTTTACATAAGTCGTAACAAGCTCGAATACACTGACCCATAACGGAGTCATTGCACAATTTCAAGCATTCATTCATACATATGATAAAACCTTCTACGGAATCTTGATGAGTTTCGCGTGCCGGTGTTACATCTGCAATACAAATCATTAAAACCATCACCATTGAAACTACTAGTCTCATTTTTTTCCCCATCATATTGTGTTTTTTTTTCTTGATAATTTATTTATTTATTGTTAAATGTATATTTTGTATTTGGGTTGACAATGATTTATGGACTATTTATAGTCTCAAAAAATCTTGAAAGAAACGAGCGTTGGCCATCATTTCTTTGTGTAATTAATTTGATTTCAGTTATCAAATTATTTGATTCTTAAATATGTTGAATATCATCAACAAACGGATTCTAGCATATTTAGTAAGTTTATGAGGCGTTGGATGCATATACCAAGATTTATGTAGTATATATTTAATTGTTATATCAGTCAACATTTCACAAGTCGTTACTTAATGGATTATTAACATGTTTTCAGGATTGAAGTTTATATGATTTCTATTTTTTGGTCCAAATTAACTATATAGTATATATGATTATTTGTAAAAGGGAATGAATTAATAACATGAATCATATTGTGGTCACCACTTTGACTTGACTTTGTTGTCTTACCAAAAAAAGTTACTATACACTTAATTACATGCATATTTTAATTAAATAAAATACATAAAAAATTTGGAACGTTTTGAACAATAAATATTTTGATTTATATATGAGATTTGAGTATAAAGGTAGTAAATGTTTTTCCTAAGTTATTATACAAAAATGATGATTCCAATTTTGGCTGTACATTAGCTTTGATATTTTGCACATCACCTCTTTATAACTATTTCCTCATTAAACAATGGGCAAATTACGGCAAACCTCTTGAGATATGATCAAATTACGAAAAAACCCCTCTTGTTTAGGTAATTACAGCCACCCCTCCTTTTAAGTATTTTTACATAAAATTTATGTAATTCGAATATTTACGGAACCAAATCGTATATTTACTCGCTAAACGGTATGAAATGTTGGCATACCGAAATTTCGGTTCGGTTTTACAACATCCATAAATTTACCTCTGGATGGCTCTTTTCGTAAAATAATACATAATTGAAGGGGGTGACTGTAATTACTCAAACATGATGGGGATTTTCTTAATTTGACCATATGGTGGTGTGTTGAAAAATTTGCCCATTGTCAACATAATAATATTATTGTGGTTGATAGTAATCATTTGGTTGGCAAGATAAGATTAGTCAAGATAAGAGATAATCTAATGAAAACCCAATTATTTTATTGGATCTCGAGACATCCAATAAAAAAACCATCTAAAAGGTAAGATAACGCAAGATCAATCATCATAACATAATATTTGCGGGTCAACCCGATAAGTTATTGGGGACACCAAACATCAAATAAAATCTATTTACTTAATGGCTAATTTCCCCTACCAAACGAGGCTTTATTGTCTAGTATTGTAACATTAATGTGGTTGACAATAATATTGATGTTCTTTGACAGTATTATTACTGACAATATTACTGTCAACCATAGCAATATTAATGTTTTTGACTTTTTATTATGTTTTTCTTTGATGAGCGGTCAATATAATAATATTATTATTTTACACAATAATTTATTATGTAACATAGTGACTTTTTTATTCATATTAATGTGCTAAATAATTATACAACAATATTATTGTCTATATTATCGTGTTCAATAAGAATATAGTTAATATTAATGTCAACCACAATAATAAAATTGTTTATAAGGTAGAAAATATTCTGGAAAAAAAAATTGATTACAAAGAAAAAAAGTCAACATTATTGAAAACAGTGGTTGACAGCCGGTGCGCAGGAAAAAAAAAAGGAAAAATGTCAAAAAAATTAAAAAAAAACTAGGTCGTGGGAGACTGACGTTGAGCGTTGGTCGTCTGCTTAGGCGGAATAAAAATCCGACAAAAAAAAAGAAGAAGAAAACCCATGTAGGAGATGGGTGGTGAACAACAACGACTATCAAAATTGGAGTTGGAATTGAGTTAGGAGTGAAAATTGAATAATTTATGAAATTGGGGTTGAATTGATGAAATTGCAATATTGTTAAAATTTGAGAGGGTTATTTTAGGTTTTACACATTTCTGGACTTTCTTGTAAAAGAATTTTTCTAGATATATTTAGATAGAGTAAGTAGCTAACCATAAGTTTATTGATGATGCCTCATTAAATAGTGTCGAAACAGTTCATATGCTATACTTGGTGAAGGTTACATCGGGTGATTTTTTTACTGTTGATCTTCAACACACCAATAGGTTTATACTATGATACAGCGGGTGGGTAGATCTTTACCATTCATAAGCACACAACACGCACGCGTCCACATTGGTGTGTGTAGATCAACGATAAAAATTCACTCGGTGTAACCTTACACCAAGGTTACACCGGGTATAGCATAAAAGTAATCCGCACGAATATGGGTATGTGTGTATCTATTTGTATATGAATGGTACATATCTGGAGCATTTTACAATTCAATTAATTTAGGGCTAATTTCATATAATTTTACTAGTTAAAATGGTAGCCAAGACAAAGGAATTTGTTGATAAACATCTTCCATCTAGAACCTAACTATTTGGTCATAGGTTGGAATTATGTTATCATAACCGGATTGGACAGAAAACCGAATAACCATTCGGGTCATGGTTGGATCGGTTCAAGCGGATTCAACCCGGCTTTTTTTACTTTTTAAAATTTTTAATTATTTTATTATTTTTAATATTTTAAATTATAATTTCTATACATTTTTTTATTTTTCACACTTTCTTCCCCTTTATTATTTTTTTATAGCCTCTTACATTCATTATTATTCACCACACCCATTTTTTATATATATTTTTTATGCCCTCTTTTTCTTCTTTCTCTTTTCTCTCAACATTTTTTTTCTCTTGTCAGTGCCCATTTTTTTCTCTTGTCAGTGCCGCCTCCTCCTTCCCATCATCTTCATCTCTTTTCTTTCACGAGAAAATTCAGCACCTCTCTCTCTCTTCCTTTTCTACATTTTTTCTCCCTCCGTATCTAGCCACACATTTGTTCGGCAACCACCAAACCCGTCGGATTCCGGCAATCCACGGCCGGATCCGTCAAATTCCGGCAGCCCACGGCCTATTCCACCCACATCTGGCCATCCCCGACGAGTTCCGCCACCAACAGCCTCCGACTCAACATTTTGTATGAAACCCGGGTCATTGACCGGTTTCCGGGTTCACCGGTTTCAGTGGGTCGGACCGGATTTTTGACATTTGACCCGGATTTTTTATTTGCCCGGTTTTAGTTGTTAGATCGGACCGCTTTCATCGCGGGTGGCGGTCAGATCCGTCGAACCGGCTCGTCCAGTCCGATTCTAACAACATTGGTTGGAATTACTCGGAAATGAATTAGGAGATCAGTAACTACGATTAAAAAATAAAACTAAATTAGAAAAACTTACTAGCTACAATGGAATACAATTGCATGGAATAGTGGAAACCTTGAGATATCTTCAATCTTGAAAATACTGTCTTACAATAAAGTTGAGCCTACTAACTATTAACACAGAAATATTAGTTTCAAATAAATAATTTACTCAAAAAAAAAAAAAAAAAAAAACAATTTAGTCCGCGACTTCGTGAATTACGGCGTCATTGATCAAAGCTTGTAGATCTACTTGTGAAAACCCGGACGCCTGTTCAATTCAACTCCATCTTTCAACAACACAAAGGTAGGCTCAACATCCACATTGAATCCCTTAGCAACACTCTACAAACAACGACATGAATTTAACAAAACAAAATCTAGTTCTAATTATTCTACTGACTTTTTATTTCTTTTTTTATTTTCAAAGAAAATCTTAAAGTTAGCAAGAGTATCATAATACCTTAAGGTCGTAAATATCCACCTTGAGGAATACAACACGGTCTGCGTTCACGGTCTGCGTTCTTCTTGGCAATCTTAGGATCAATAACACGGCATGATGGTATGTACTTATTCGTGAAATCTACCACTACCTGATCCAAATTTAAAATCTCAAAATTGATAGAC